CAATCAAAACCCAACAGCCTGAAAAAAATTCATCTGTGACCAGCTCCCAGTTGGCTTGATATTATAAAAGTATAAAGGAATATCACGTTCTGCTCACAGTAGTCACTCTAGTGTAATTTGCTCAACAAAATTTTGAATTTTGAATTTTTTTTCCTTGATCTGATCCGTGATCCGGTCCAGTCCGATCCAGGTTTTGTCGACGTCGGCTGATTTAATACCATTGAGGGCTGGAAGAAACATCTGAGGTCACTATGATCTCATCAGTGTTTTTCTTTCATAATGACGAAGGCAAATTGTTGGAAACTTATCAGTCTTAAAAGAATGGGTGGAAAAGACAGCTATAACTGACATTTTGCAATTATTATATGCAGTGGCGGATCTAGGGGAGGGGCCCAGGGCCCCCCCTTATTTTTGGTAAAAAAAAAATCACAACAGGAAGAAAAGCCAACAGGGTAAGCAAAAAAAACACCGGCCCCCGCTTAGCTTAAGGTCTGGATCCACCACTGATATGATCTGGGAAATTTTACTTTTATCAGGGAAAAGCCAGGGAATTTGAAAGGTTGTGTCTCTGGCAACCATGCCATGGCTTGTGGTCTTGCACCCAGACTGATTAATCAAGCATTGTTACTGAAATATGATAAAATATTGTAAATTTCCATTTATTTAAGTTACTTCTTTCCAGACATAGTTTTGCTTGATGCTCTTCTCAAAAGCACTTCAGAAAAGTTCTCTTAAGTTAAATAAATTTTCTTACATTATATGCAGTCTTTATTTTTATAATTTACTCTGTGTCCCAGTTGCTCTTCTTGTTAATTTTTGAAAAATAAATAATTTTCTTCTGAAACTTCCTTCTGTGTTAAAAGCTATTCCCTAAGGAAAAAAATTGAATTATCTAGCAATATTAATATTTTTGTTTCTCTTAATTCTCTACCCTCCCAAGATGGAGGAAAGAAAACATCTAACCCACTGTCCATACCATTAAGAATTTTCGTCTTCTTATAATTTACTTTTCAGCGACCTGACATGAGAAACAGATCTGTATGCAATTTATGCAGTCTGAAATGAAACAAGAAATTTTTAAATTTTTTGTTTGATCCATGATCTAACTAACAATGTTAGTACTTTGTAGCAATGATTGTGTGTTTTATGATAGGCTGCAGCAATATTAAAAGGGATAGCATTTGTAGGGTGGTAATATTCAGGTTCAGACCCTTAAAACCAATAATTAATTTATAACATCCCTGAATATGTGATGAACTTTGGTTTCTCTACTCTAGGATGGATTAAACTAACTCTTGAAGTACAAGTAATAATTTATTATTCTGAACTCAAAACTACCCTTATCATGATACTGGGATCTCTTATGTTGAAAAAGAGTCATATGCTATCAACGGTCCTTTTAAATATGTAAATAATTTGCAGAAAACACAATTATTAATATGAGGGTATTTTTAAGGGAGTAGGTTGATTTTTGGAAGGAAAGTGCTAAATCCTCCAAAAAAACTTTGTTCAGAAGAAGTTAAGTGAAAGTATGAAAATAAGTAAGGAAAATATCGATACTTGTAATTGAACAGGAAAGATATTTAGAAACAACAACCCTAATCGTGTGACTACCATGCATGCTTGCAAAATATTGAATTTTGACTTGACCAAGGTTGCCGAAATAATCTTTGTTTTTGTCCTCTTAGGATTAAGCAATTATTTGACAGTTACGTCTTGTTACTTAGAATGCTGCTTCAAAGTACCCCTTTCTCATCCAACTACACCGACCTAGCCACCTTATTAGCAATATTAAAGTTAGTTATGCTGTTACCATGGTTACAGAATTTTGTAACAATCAGCTAGGGTTGTAGTTGTTATTCATCCTGTCTTCGGCTTTGTGGCAAATCCTTGTGACTGTCCAGTAGTTCTGCTTGTCAACACTCGACTTCTTCTCTATGAAAGCATCAACAATCCACTGTTGAAATGTCCCAGATCCAATAGTCAATAGGTGTGACCCCCCTATTAGGACATTCTTTTCTGTCAGTGCAACAACACCACTATCCATAACCACTGGATCATCTGATTTTGGATTGTATGTAGTGGGTTTTAAACTTTTTGATAAGAACCTCTGCATTTGTTTTATTTTGTTGGTCAGTGTAACGTTCTGCGCCGTTAACGAATGTAAGGTGTCCGAGCCAAAACGAGTAAAATCCGAAGAAAGGAAAACTTGCGTGATTTTGTACTTTTGCTTGAGCACTCCAACCTTTTCCACTAAGGTTTTGAGACATAGTGACAATCTTTCAAAACCATACCACTGTATTTGACGTTCAGAGCGAATATGGACCGAAATAAACTCCTCGCCAATCGAATCAACGATATTCCTAGCTCTTGAAATAACGAGTTCACTTGACGGTAACGAATATACCAACTTCCGGCTGCTCTGATCCACTTCCGGTTTGAAATGGTTTCTGTCCTTGCCAAGTCCTCGCCAATGAATAATAGCTACGCACTTATCTCCTTTAAGAATTTCAGTTTCAAATAATTGAAGGCTCTTGACTTTCTCGGCATCTATGCAAATTTGCCTCCCAGCTTGAAAATTACCAATTCTGTCAGAAAAATCGAGACCACGATCAATAAAATTGCATTCACACCAACCGGATTTTTTCAAGGCCCCTTCAATCTTTCGATACACCATGGCCGATATCTTGTACCACTTTTTCATTTCGTCTTTTTTGCGATCATTGAACATAAAATGTAACAATGTAGTGTTTGCAACGCTTGATCGACACTCACGTTTAAAAGTTTCCAATTTTACCATCCGTGCATAGTGAGATTTTATGAGCAAATTGTTCATAAATTTTACATCGAAATAAATCGCCAGAGGATAAAATCTTCGGCTCTCAGTCCGTGGTTGTCCTGACCAACCGTAAGGCAAACCACACATTCTAGAATCTCGAACTAAAGGTTCCACAATCACACGGCCAATTTGTTTCGCAACCGCAGCTAACTGGAACAAATTTTCTGTGGTCTTCGTAAGTTGTTCGTAATGGTGTAAGACAAAGAGAAACTTCAGGTTATGTTTTGCTCCATCGGCGGAATAATTGATTATCGGCCGATTACTCAGATAAATATTGTTAGGTGCGCTCGTTGAAGACCGGTTCTTCACTCGACCAAAAAACTGCGAGGCTTTTTCGATGGCGGTACTGTGAAGGTTCGATGCTGGCAGTGATTGAAGCTTCTTTTGTATGATACCAGCTGAAGTTTGGCTGTCTTCAACATGATGTAGCAGATGATACATAATAAAAATACTCAAAACAACACAAATCTTTACGCCAAGCGTAATTCCACATTTCGACACTAGAGGTGACCTTCGCCGTCTCGCACACAGCCACATAAAGACTTCTACTCGGTTAGAATTAAATCGATATAGAACCAGTGTTGTTAATGAAGTTTTAAAGTGACGACAGCCTGATCAGCTCGATGATCGTTGAAAATCGAGTTTCGATTTCACCACACTCATATCACAGCACAATCCAGAAATATTTGACTGATCGTTGCAGCGTTGCATTCGTAAACTATGTTGATTAGTTGAGGCTAGAACACGTTGTTTCCGTTTTACATGTCAAGGATCC